AAGTCTCTGTGCAGAGCGCATGAGAAGCTGCTAGTTAAAAAAGTAACGTTACTCCACGACTTCATTATCGATTTACTTCAGAACAGCTTTGCCGGAAATAGCCACGGGCTCCTCACAGAGCTCGGCTGCCAGCCAGCTTTAACAGCTCTCCGTGGATCTCATGTAGGATCTGCCCATGCTGCAGTGTTCCTTCCCATGGGCAGAGGCTGAGGGCAGGGTTAAATGCACAGCAGGCGACACTGGTCAAGGGCTGGTGCCTCCCCAGGGCAGCAGATCCGATCAGAAGGTGAACAGAGCTGGGCACTTCCAAGAGTCAGAGTGCAGGCAAGGCTGTGTAGCTCATGCCACTGCCTGAGGATGCTGCAAGAGCCCCGGGAGCAGGCAGGAACACACGGCTCTTTGCTGTGCAGGTGAGAGCAGAGTAACGGAGGGGGCTCCTGCCTGCCCCATGCCTGTTTGCAGCCCGTTCCCTTGTGTACCTTCCCATGCTCATGGCTCTCACTGCCCAGCAGCGTCCTCCCTAGCCCAGTCTTGGATGGTTCCGCTGCCAAAGGCTACATAGAAGATCAGGCCAAACAGGTTGAGGGCTGCAGATACGAAGAAGGCATTCCTCCAACCAGTCTGGAGATCCTGGGGGGCCAAGAACAGATCAGGATGGTGTCACCCTTCCCGTTATCTCCATGTAGTGATCACGCAACTACTGCCACCCGGTTTACTGGCATTAAACTCATCTCCATCCTCTGCTTGTTACTAATACCAATAGCAGAGCTTTGCTCAACTCAAGACATATGCCAGGCCCCCTCTTGTTGAAGACGCATTTCCTGCCTTGGCATTTTTGGAAACATTGTGTGCTGTGCTGAATTTAGGAAGCTTTCCTTCCTGGCACAGAGCTTCCCCCTCACCCCACTCCCTCATCCCTCTCCCCATCTCCATACATCCAGATGGGGCCCATGTGGAGCTCTTCCTGCTTTCTGAGTCATCCCCATGTCCTCAAAATGGTCCAGAGCTCTGGTTTGCTAGGTGCTACATCGCATGTGTTCATTGGGAGAGGGGGTTGGCTTGGAGTAATTTTTGATTCAGTGCAAAGAAAGGAATCCATTTCTGAGCAGACCTGTGTTTTCATCCAGGGACGTGCTTGCAGCTTGCAGCCCCGAATTACCTGGCTGACAAGAAGTCCAACTGCGGTAGGAGCAATAATTCCTGCTACTATGCCAAAGGTGTTTGTGATTCCCAGCAGGAACCCTGCATATCTGGGGAGAGGAAGCAAAGATTTCCTGAGTGAGGCAGAGAGAAAACTGTCACAAGAAGGGAGTTGAGTAGGTGCTGCCAGTCCCTTCCCTCATCTGCATGAATACTGCCTGTCATGCTGAGCAACACTAGGATCTTCCCTGCAAGACTGGGGGAGAATTTAGGCCTTTATTCTACCCCTTAGATTATAATGCCATCAGCTACAGAAGATAAGGGAAGGGAGAGTAGGAGTTGCAGAGGCCTTGGGCGATTGGGAACAGGAAGGATGCAGAGCTAGGGAAGGCACAGAGGTCAGACCCGCTTACCTGGGTGCTATATCAATGTGGTTAATATTGATGCCTGCCCCTGTGAGGCTGATTATTGTCAAGGCCAGCGTTAGAAGGACCACAGCAACTGTGGAACTACAGCCAATGTAAGGAACAGCCACCAGGAAGGCAGCTGGGAGCAGCATCCCTTGGGAGGAAAAGGGGACGTGTTTTATAACAGGCCACACAAGTGTGTTGGAAAGACTGGATGGCAGATGAAAGCTCGTCCTTACCGAGTGCTGAGAAGAGCTTCCTGACAGCTGCTGTGCCAAGCATTCGCCTGGTCAGGAGGAAATCGGCCAGCAGCCCAGCCAGGATGTGCCCCAGCCCATTCCCGACATAAGGCATGGAGGAGAGGAGCCCGTTCTGCAGAGCAGAGAACCAGGCATTATCGTGTCCACGGCATGAAGCAACGGAGCCGAGAGCAGGGCAGCACTCACCTCTCTGAGGTCAAAGTGGAGGACAGTGCTCATGAACGTGGGCATGGAGGTCAGCAGCATGTAGAACAGCCAGTCAGTGCAGAAGCAGGCAATGGTGATTGCCCAAAGAGGCAGTGATTTAGCCATGGCCACAAGTGGGAGGGAGTGGCCATGACAGGTACCCTGGAAGGAATAAAACAGATCAGCCAGTGCCTCCTTTCCTGTCTCACATCCCGTGGACAGCCTGTCCAGGCTTTCCTTGGCCTCTCCACCTACTGCTGAGCAGACTGGGACTAGCACCAGCCAGGGCACAAGGAACCCACCTGCACTGCCTCGGAGCATTCCCTTTGCCACAGTGCCCGCAGCATGGTCAGTGGCAGTTAAAAGGTTTGCGTGTACCTGGTGAGCCAGCGACGACACGATGTACTCCTGCTCCCTGGCACTGATCCACGGGTGATGCGCAGGGTCCTCGTACACGAGGAGGAACCAGCAGAGGCACCAGGCACAGCCCACGGCACCTGTGAGGAGCGGGGCTCTCCGTGCCAGCTCCACTTACGGTGAGCTGCAGCAGTGGAGAGCCAGCAGGATGGAGGCTGGCACTAGTGAAATGGTGAGTGTGGGAAGATGGAAAGGGACAAACTCCCCTCAACCCATTGCTCACAGGGAAAATGGCTGCGTTGATGGCACAAAAAGTTCAGCAAAGGCACGTTCTCTAATAGTACCCCAGCAAAATGGCTTCAGCCTGGACTGGAGGGTGAGGGGAGCCCGGAGCTCTGTGTGGGACTGGTTAGGATGGAGCTGCTCCCACAGGACTCTGATGGGGAACCTTTGGGAGCTCTGGCAGCAAATGGTCTGCAGCGGGTTTGGAGTAGAGGGACATGGTGGGCCATTACTCACCAAAGATGTAGAAGACAAAAGGCCACCCCAGACTCTGGCAGATGATCCCAGCCACAAGGAGAGCAAAAAACGTCCCAAAGGTGCATCCTAGGGATCAGAAACCAGGAGAATAATTTTAATGGGACTTTGTGTGACCAGAAGTGAGTGGGACAGATGTCCAGCCCAATTTGTTATGGGCAAATGTGGTGGCATAAATGAAGTGCCTGTGCAAACAAGCACCCTTGTATCCAGGTTTGCTCCCTTCAGTGTCTGTGTTTCCTCTTCTGCCTCAAGCTGACCTGAGCTGAGGAGACAGAGAACACACAGGATGGGAGGAGGAGAGGTGGAAAAGCTGAAGGTTGCTAACACTCTTTGCCAAGGACCTACAGATTTGAGGTTGCTACAAGGACTGGCTTGGAAAGAGGGGGGTGAGGGGAGATCCTGCACTTCCTCAATTGGTGGTAGGAAAAAATCTTTGTGTCTTACCAGCATCAGCAATGTTCATGAGCCTGCTGCGTTCCAGCGGAGGGGCCCATTTTGCCCAGAGCGTGTACTGAGCTGGAAATATCACTCCCTGCAAAGAGAACAGGGGGTGTGGAGGAAAGGGACACGGGAGTGCAGCCAGGGCTAACCAGTGCAGGTTTTGTAGCCACCACTGACCTCAGCCAAGCCCAGCAGCACCTGCAGCCCAATGAGGAAGTTCACGCCGAGTTCTGCTGCTCGGGGCACGAGGAGGGTGAGGACGGAGGAGAGCAGGAGCCCGCTGCCCAGGATGGGTTTCCCCCCGTACAGCCCTGAGCAGTACCCGCCCAGTGCCTGTGTGAGGCCGTAGCCATAGAAGAAGGAGCTGAGAATGATTCCTTGAGTCTCGGGGCTCCAGCTGTACACAGGGGCCTGGGGGAGACAGAACTTGTCTGTCAGACAGAGATCACTGTTGTCCAGGCACAGACTCCTCCAGAAGGGGAGAAGCAATCAGGAAACGCAGCCCTGAGCACAACAAGCTGAGCTCTCTGCTCCTTCATCCCGCTCTGTCCTCAGGGCTTTGGTCTGCTGCTGCTTCCGAGTCTGTCCTCATGCAAAAGCAAGAGTGGACTGAGCCTGGGAAGTGGCTTTCAGTTATCTACATCTGCTTTCCACTTACATCCTGAGCAAAGCCAGAGTAGGAGCTGTGGGGAGCGCTGCCGGACCAGCCGTGGGGATGGCTGCCGTTAGTCATGGCGACGATGGCGATGCTGAGGCTGACCCGGAGCCCGTAGGCCATGAAGAGAGAGATGTGCAGGACCAGGGTCAGGCCACAGCGAGCGGAGCAGAGCCCTGTGAAAGTAGAGCACCCACAAACCAGGGCTGGTCAGCAAGGCCTTTCACCCCCTCCTACAGATCTGTGACACCTTACACAGCAACAAATGGCTCTTTCCAGGTACCCTCCAGACATCTGGCACCGAGGCCCTGCCCTCCTCCTTGGCAGGGACGGCAGTTCCTATCTCCCGACGGAAAATGGAGGGGCAGGAAGGCAAGGAGACTTGACGGAGAATAGAGGGGACACGTCAAAGCCTGACATTGTTGGCTCCCAGGACCTGCTAAGGCCGCACTTCAGCCCTCTCCTCCCCAGGGAGGGGCTTTACCTGTGCGGGAGGAGGGCTGCTCAGCAAGCAGAGGGGCTTCATCCTGCTTTGCTTCCGGCTCCTCCCCTGCCTGCGTGTTGTCTGCGTGGCGCTGCATCCTTTCCTGTCTGCAACGCTGCTGCCCGCTTCTCCTCAAGATAACATCCAGCCCTGTTGGGAAGCAAATCTCAAACATCAACAAACACAGGAGCAGCTGGGCAGTGACCTCTGACCTTTACTCAGAACGCCGTTACCGGCATGGAGAGAGCGGAGCTGGCTTCTGGTCACAGCTGCCTGCGCTGCCAGCACAAACGCTTTATGAGCCCAGGGATTTACAGCAGCCTCACACCTCGCTGGGTCGGCCTTGTTTGCACCTGTGGTTTATAACCCGCCACCACAACAGCCTGGCAGGGCAGCGGGGTCTTTCCCGCCCCAGGGTGTTCCTGCAGACGCCCCGGGGTACCCGCTGCCCTCCCTCGGCTGGTGTAAAGGGATGCTCCTTCTTCGCCCCGTCCCGTCCCCCCAGGGTAGCTCACGTACAGGGAGAGGTGTCTCCCCCAGCCCAGAAGGGACCAGCGGGGTCGTGGGTCTCCTGGCTCCGTGTCCCGGGCGGGGAGCGGGACGCAGACACGTGCTGCCGCAGGATTTGGGACTTCCAGGATCTGGCTGGAATGGAGCAACGCCGGGGCTCGAACCCTTACCTCGGGAGGGAACGCCGCGGCCCCGCCACCAGCCTAGAGCACCGCCCACCAGCCTAGAGCACCGCCCACCAGCCTAGAGCACCGCCCACCAGCCTAGAGCACCGCCCACCAGCCTA